TTTGGGATGACTCTTGGCTTCTTTGCCGTCGGATCGAAACCTTGCAACAGGCCATTTGAGTTCGCCAGCTCGTCGTGTCGAAGTCGGAAATGACGGATGAAGTTTCCTACGTCAAACCTAGCTTGAACGTATTTACAGTTGCCTGCGGGGTCGATGTTGCAGAAAGCTTTTGCTCCATCCTTCAAGATAAATGTGGAGGCTATATCGATTAGCGTTCGTTTACGTTTCTTGCTGTTTTCTCCGCTTGTCGAGGCCATCGTCAAGTGATGATGGAGAAAACAGGGATGCGTATCATATATTAACAGTCAATTAAAACTAATACGACTTCACGCGAAAACGAAAGTTTTACAGCACGCTTCAAATTACTGCTGGTGAAAAAAATCACTGTGCGCAAATGAATGCGATTTTTTTCTATATTTATCTTCCGTGAATCCAAAATGAAATGAATATTCTGCATAGAAAATAGAAATAAGAGGGAACTAAAACCGACATTCGTGGATTAACAACAAGAGTTCACGCGTGTTGAATGAGAAAGATAACAACAAAACAAACCGAAAGTGAGAAATTCACTGAAACGTCAAATCATAATGACCTGCGTTAAGAAAGCAAGGAATGAATTTCAGTGAACATTTTTGCACTGATGTATATCTTATTGTGATTTTCAAAATATAAGTTCAACATTTTTCAACTCTGGGGACAATACATCTCGAAGAGAAATAGGGAGCCTATTCGATTGTGAATCAGGTCATATCCTCTAAAAAGTGAAAGTTAAAGTTAAAGCTTTGGTTTGTTTTTTCCGTCGATCTTGTTTTCCGTGCTGAGCACCAATGCTACCGACGTGCCAGGAAGGCAGCTCCCACACCTGGACCCTACCTATCGACCCATCAACTCATGAACCGGGGACCAACGGCTTTACTTCCCATCCGAAGGAAGGCGTGATCAGAGATGTTATGCCTCAGAACATCCCGGCGGCGCCGACTGGGATTGAACCCAGGCCTGCTGGGGTGAGAGGTAATCACGCTTATCACTACACCACCGGCGCCGTTGAAAGTTAAAGCTAGAAGTGTTGAATGTGTTAGTTGGAAACTATGTGATTCGATGTGGAAGTAGTCGTTTTTTCTTAGTATTTCCAGAGGAAATCAGCAAGGAGTTGTGAAAAATCCGTAGCAATCCAAGCCATGTGGTATGTAGGTGGCTAATGTGGCCTTCCTTTGTTGTCCAGCCATCAGGCCTTCCGTGGGCGACTTGACCGTTAGAGAGTTCAGATGCATAATGCTTATTGGATGGGAACAGGCTAGTTCAGACTTCAGAAGGTGGCAAAATTTGGACCATTAAATCAAATGATGGCTACTAGACTGATGCAAAATTTGACTTTTTCGCTCCACAGTGCTTAAATGGTTTCAAATCGGGTCTTGATTAGCCTCCCAAAGTTACAACTCATTTGGTTAGAAACAGACTTCGCACAAGCCATTTGAAGTTTACATGTAAATTACTATGGGAAATCTCAACTTTTTGTTCATTGCCTTCTAGTATTTTTCTATATTGAGCTGCGAGAAAGTTTGATAGCCATTCTTATAGAAAATTTTCTCAGCTACAACTTTGCTCAAGATCGTTTCTATGTAAAACGAGACAGGAAAATGTTATTAATTATTTAAGAGATTGGTAAACTTATGACATGATCAAGCAGCTGCTCTGTAGGCAACACTGTATTTTGCAGTGTGGCATAGTAGCCATGATTTTTGTGTCCTATTCAACGCCCCAGAAACACCAATGTTGCCTGCTGAGCAGTTGATTGAGCATGATCATAAGACATCAGCGCATTGAACCATTGATAACTTTCAATCCTTGCATTTAATCAAAAAGTGGTCTTCAGCAAAGTTGCAACTTAGAAAATTTCCTACAAGTACAGTTGAAAGTATTTGAAGCAGACCAATATGGTGAATTATTAGATAGACATGAACAAAAATCTTGGTTTTACCATAGTAATTCCCATACAAACTTCAAATGGTTTGTGCCATCTCAGTTTCTCACCAAATGGGTTCAAATTTTGAGAGGTTAGTCAGGATCCGATTTGGAATCGATTAAGTATTGTGGAGCAAAAATTTCCAATTTTGCATCACTCTAATGGCTACTTACATCAAGCACTGCGAAACTATTGACTTTACAATGATAAAAACCAAACCAAAGCACCACTTCAATTTAGTTCGTAATTTTAACACGTAAAAATACAATATTATTAAGGCAAAGGCCGCTTTATTTATTTTACATGTAATTTTTTATTCATTATTACTATTAAAAACAAAGAATGTAATTGTTAATGTAACAAAACGGTCTACATATGATTGACGACAATAAATAAATAAATAAAAGTTATGTGCCTTGCTTAACTTGACATCTTGATAAGATATAAGTTTTCTGTCTTCAGCAAAGTTGTACAAGTTATGAAGCCTTATTAATGGAAAAATATTATGTGCGTACCCAATGTAAACTAAATGAAAATTTTGTTCTTTGTTTTAACGCTGATGAAACATATTGAACATCCAACAATCCCAAAAATCTACAAAAGAAACAATATCTTTGTATAATAAGAGGTTGAAAAAAACTCGCAACAAATTGCGATCTCCTTTTTGGCGTTCATTCAGACGATTGAAGCTAAGGACTATTTAAGTTATAAAACAACACACACTTCCAGTCCCAACTTTTTTATTTGACTACTTAGCTTAATGCTTTCTTCAGCAAGTTTTAAGCTCTACTTATAAGCAAAATATAAAACAATAATAAACAATATATGCTGCTTCAAGCATGCAATTTTTATACTCATTTCAGCGCTTAAGAACTGTTTGTTTACAAATGCTGATGAGCCCTTTTCTATTGTTAATCCAGATTTTTTTATAGTCATTTTACCACGAGGACAACAATTACGAATTTAGGTGAAGCTCACATTAATGTGATGAATATAGTGGGTGAGGATGACATCAAATGTTTCCACTATGGGATTTCACTAATTTGACAGTACCCTCTTAACTGGTCTATAAATTTATGGCCCATAACAAACTTGAACAATACATACGAACTTTACGGCTGTATTGCATTTTACACGAGATTTTACAGCTGTCGCGTACACCGCATGTGTTTGTTTTGCGTTGGTTGTAAGTGTGTTGGTGAAAAATAGCAGACAACAGAAAAATGCTGGCTTAGCATCCCCTACACTAATAAAAATCCAAAGCTAATTTGTATGTTTCCCACACATGAATTTTTGCAATGTGATAAACAAACGATATATATGTGTCGGACACAAATAGTTCTTATGTGTACACATAAAATTCATGTGTAACTACACATTCTATTCATTTGACTCATAAATTTCATGTGTACTTCTGAGTGGTTTCTGTTTATGTGTGGACACATGAAAATCATGTGGAATTTTACATGGCAATTCGCCAATAAAAATGTGTCGAATTTTATGAGTGATAGGTTCATTGCGACAAGAAAGTCGAACAAGGTCGTATTCGGTCGAGGAAGGTTTGATAGTTATTTTTGACAGAAAAATCCGGGTAACAACTTGCATATTCGCGTCAGTGCTAGCAAAATCAGTAATCAAAGTCTTTTCAATCAAAGTCTGAAGTCTTTTTTTACACGGTTTTTTTTTACGCGGTTTTTTTTACACGTTTATTTTACACGGTTTTTCGCGATTTACACGGTACATTTTTAACGATTTCTCGACAACGATACAACCTATCGACTTGATTCCAATCACATTATCCGTTTCAAGCTATAGGTAATCGCATGGCATCCTTAAAAAAAATCACAATTTTTGGTGTAAATACAGAAATTCTTAAAATATGTCTATATGGACCATAGCATGCTATAATTACAAATGGCATCAAAATCCGATTTTTTAAAAACATTTAAACATGTGAAAAATCAAAATCTCGTAGATTTTTTTTACACGGTACATATCCCCGTGAAAAAAAAAAACGAGGGTATATTGCGCGTTTCACACCTAATAAGCACGTTTTCACTTATTAAAAAGTGTGATGAAACTGCAAGTTTACGTCTAATCGTCTTGGTGTCTTCAGTGCACTTATTCCTTATGATGCAAGCAATAAGTCAAAACGATTTGACGGAAACGTGCACTTTTATCACACTTTTTGCATTTTTGGGACAGTCCAGTTTTAGATGCAATCAGCAATATTTTCCGCCCTTATACGCTCGGTGAGAAGCGCGTTACCAAATTTAGCAGCGCGGGAGAAAGGTTGCTATTCGTAGAAATGTCAAAATGCTCACTACCGGTGTTCCGTCTCCGCCGCAAGTCAACTGATACGAACACCACCAACAAGCAGCGAAGAACGAGACCATCAATAGGCTACAACATCCACCAATCAGCGACGACCACATCAACGCTCGCCGCTTTAAAAGAGGCATGCATCACCGTGCAAAACAAGAGTTCTTTTCCGACCAAGCACCAGCAAACATCAGCAGCAGTAGATGCAGAATTTGTAGAGAGAAAGAGGATAGAATAAACAGTTGTTAGCGTAGCCGTCCCGATCAAGTTTATTCTGCACACATCCCTGGTTTGGAGCAGCGTCGAACCCACCAGCTCTTTTCAGAGCCCTTACGAGTTGATTTCCGATCGACGCTTGCTTCCTCCACCACCCTGCCGATACAGTCCACTACCGAAAGGGAAAGTTCCCTCCCAGTCCGAACAACCGGTACGGACTACGGCGAGTAAATTGATAACCGCGATAGCAGCAACCGGTGTGGAGAAGAGTGAATAAACTAAAATGAGAGCGCTGTACGGTGTTAAAATAGTCGCGCAAATGACAACGACCGTTACGGTTGCTCTAATATCATCAACAGTTGGCCGCTTGTGTGTGATCTTGGGCATTGGTGAGATTTGATTTTTTGATATTTTCCAAACACTGATAAAAATGTTATTATAAGCATAAATCCAAAAAAACGTGTTTTACATTATTAATCAAATCTCCGTCTTCTTTTAGGTATTTTCACTCGATTCTCCGTTTACATTCCAATGTGCTTACTCACCGGCCCACGCTTCAGAAAGAGGCAGCAACATGGAACGTATCGCTGAGCAGATTGCTACACTTTGCGCCACTCTTGGAGAGTACCCATCGGTACGATACCGGACGTAAGTATAACAGGTTGTTCAACTTATTTGGTGGGTTGACGAGTGTCCACGACAGTGTATGGAAGATTATCCACGCAAGGAGATGTGGTGATATCTTAAATTTGACTTTCCACATTCAATAAAATGGTTGAAACCCTATTATAACAAAGGAGGATGCTATTCGAACATGTTTATTTATTTTCCTTTTCAGCGAGGGGGAAGGCAACATGGAACTGGCCCAAATGGTACAACAAAAGCTAGATGCGTACAAAGCAGATGAACCAACGATGGGTGAAGGTCCAGAAAAGGCTAGATCTCAACTGTTAATTATAGACCGCGGCTTCGACTGTGTTTCTCCGTTATTGCATGAACTGACATTGCAAGCAATGGCGTACGATTTGCTTCAAATTGTCAATGATGTATATAAGTTCGTTCCATCACCGAATGCCGCCGAAAAGGAAGTTCTTTTGGACGAAAATGACGACTTGTGGGTTGATCTACGCCACCAGCATATTGCAGTTGTGTCACATAGTGTTACACAGTATTTGAAAACATTTACTGAATCCAAGAGAATCACCCAGACTGAAAAACAGTCAATGAAAGATCTTTCACAAATGATCAAAAAAATGCCACAGTATCAGAAACAATTATCCAAATATTCCACTCATCTACATCTGGCTGAGGATTGTATGAAAACGTACCAGGGATATGTAGACAAACTTTGCAAGGTAGAGCAAGATTTGGCCATGGGCACTGATGCCGAAGGAGAAAAAATTAAAGATCATATGCGGAACATCGTGCCAATTTTGTTGGAGCAGGCGGTGTCCAATTACGACAAAGTTCGCATTATTGCCCTGTATGTCATGATTAAAAATGGTATTTCCGAAGAAAATCTGACAAAACTGATTACGCATGCCCAAATAGAACCAAAGGAAAGGGAAATGATCACCAACTTGCACTATTTGGGAATCAACGTTATTGCTGACGTAAGTATAATTTCATTAAGTAATTTAACTCGAATACCCAATAGTTTCCTCCAGAACAGCCATAGCAAATGTAATTTATCGCTTATTTTAGGGTAACCGTAAGAAGGCATACAATGTACCAAGGAAAGAGCGTTTAAACGAACATACCTATCAAATGTCCAGATGGACCCCGGTCATCAAAGACCTCATGGAAGATTCCATTGATAACAAACTAGACGAACGGCAGTTTCCCTTCCTTGGTGGACGCAAAACAGCCGGATTCCATGCACCAACCAGGTAATTATAAAAAGATCCATCATCAAGAAAACATGTTATAAAGTCCCCAGTATGTCCAGTGTTTCAAACACATCATGTGAGTAGTTTAAAAAGATGTTTCCTACACGGTAACCGCAAAATACCCAATAATGACTATAAAAGACTCTATATTGACTACAATGTAGTCAATATAGAGTCTTTTATAGTTATTATTGGGTATTTTTCTCTCTTTATTATCGTGATTTTTAGCCGTAGGCTAGTTCATCACAAATGAATACTTACGTCAACGTCAACGAATACAAGTCAAACGCGCATTATTTTGCCTGTAGATAGTACTTCTTAAGCCCCCTCATCCAATAAGTGAGCTAGGCAAAGAAATGCGCTATTGATTAGTATTGTCGCATCAATGGTCCTTCGTTCAATTTCAACTTCAGGATTAATAAGTAAAGTTAAGTTTTCTTTATTATGGAGGCTTTCAGCCTAAGGCTTCCAGGATTAATTATCAAAAGGCTATGTTCATAAACAAGCTTTAATCGATTTCACTCTTGTGCCCCATAGGGGTTGGCACTCTTGCCCCATTGCAGTTTCAAAAAAAGATTTTAGGAGACATTTTGAAACAACTTTTGGCGAGATTTAATTTGCATTGCATTGCAGATTTTTATTTCCGTCGATCTTGTTTTCCTATTGAGTACCAATGCTACCGACGCCAGGGAGGCAGCTCCCACACCTGGACCCTACCTATCGACCTACCAACTCATAGACCGGGGTGCAACGGCTTTACTTCACTCCCGAAGGAAGGCGTGATCAGAGATTTTATGCCTCAGAAAATCCCGGCGGTGCCGACTGGGATTGAACCCAGGCCTTTTGGGATGAGTGACAATCACACTTACCACTACACCACCGGCGCCGCTCATTGTAGATTTATGAAGGCAAAATTATGAACTTGTAATACGGTGAATAAACTCCTATAAATATCAACTATTTGGCATTCAATTGTTAAAGTGACACTTCTGCTCCACCAAACGCTTTTATATTGGTGAATAAGTGCTTCAATCACGGCTGCATAACTCCACCACAACGTATTGTAGCATGGCATATGGTATTCCCAAATGCCACTACAGAAGCACACCACGTCATGTATCACGAATAGTTATTTGAGTAAAGTATTTATGATTGTTACTAGCTTCGTCTACATAAGCGTGAATTGCGGAAATACCCGCCAGTATCACACCTGATGTCAGTGCCTTTATATAAACGTACTCTACGACGTTTCAAAGAAATAAAAGTACAGAATGTGTGATACTTTCACTACTGGTCAAAATGTTGGTCTCCCATCCAAGCATAAGATTAAGCCCTCCCCTCGGCCCTCCCACCTTCGGCAAGGTGATAAAAGTGACCAATGGGAGGGAACCTCGAAGGGTTCAATGCTTATCAGACACTTATCTATAGCAACTACTTCCGATAGATTTTATTCAATACAATTTCGTCAATGAGACGAATTGTTATTTAAACTATGCATAGTTATATCTCGTAAATCCATTATTCAAACAATTTTGTATGCCCTTATTAATATGTTTATTTACTTTCGCTTTACAGCAGTGCGCGATACGGCCATTGGCATAAGGACAAATCCCAGACGGCGGTCAAAAATGTTCCACGCCTAATTGTGTTCGTCATTGGTGGTGTAAGCTACTCGGAAATCCGTTGCGCCTACGAGGTGACGGCTGCAGTAAAAAATTGGGAAGTCTACATTGGCTCATCACACATCTTAACACCAACAACTTTCCTCGAAGACCTGGGTAAATTGAACAAGGAGTAAAGTCAATACAAGCTTAAAACGTTACATTTAGATAATCTTAACGGACCTGTACGCTACATTAATTCAATTAAATGTGCATGTTTCGAAATAATTAAACTAATATCAAAAATGATTCAATTTAACATTTACGAAGTTGTTGGCTTTGTTATTATTTAGTGTTCTGTACATACATAAAACGCGGAAATGAATACATAAGGCATTTAATAATTCATTTATTCCAGCTTAGGTATAATCAACAGTCTAATAGCTTGTATCTTCATAAAAAGTTTTTACATTTATAAGTAGTATTTTAATAGCTGTCCGGAAGATAAGGATAGAATTGTGTTAATAGGACAGCATCTATTCAATTAATCAAACGCATTGAATATATAGAAGTGTACCTATCTCATTCTTCCCACTATTGTTTACTTATAATGGTATCATATCACATCCAGTGAGCATCTGTTCCAGGTTTGTCCAGGACATCATTGAAAAATTTCCAGGTTTTTAAAATTGTTTTTATTTTGGTTAAAAGAACAACTAAAATGCAACAAACGTTTTTTAAAACATATGACAACCAGTTTCAAAAGAACAGCTTTACAACTATTAAAAAGTAGGTATATGCTCAGGAATCTGCTTCTTTGATGTCACCCAGACACTAAAATCCTGGTCCACTATCGCACATACTTTCCCACTTACACAGTCCCCACTACAACAGGATCATCACCTACAGTATGGGCCTTTTGGAAGATGTGATGGATGGTACTCTCGATCAGACAACACTCTTTCTCTTCTCGATCCTAATATGATGGTTTTAAGGGGAATATTTCGGAACACCATCATCGATCGATCAGAATTTAGAGTAGGATGAGAGTTTATTTTAATAGATCGACACTTCTGCACCCACTAGTCAATGGTCGGGAATGGTTAGTTGGGTTGGGGTACACGAATTTTAATCTGTTCAATGTTTGTGTTATGGTAAATAAATTTAAATTGGCATAAGATTTATTTGGGTGAATATATGGTTTGGTGATACGTTTTTAAAAAAGGATAAAATTAGAATTACGAACTTACTCGACTGAAGGTCTGAACTAGAATGATTTATTATTCCAAAACAAAGAGTGTCAACGTGGTATATACTAAAGGGTTTAATGAAAAACACTAAGTGCGCGAATTATTACTTATATGCTATCTATGTTTTGTCTTCTGCTGCTAACCGTCTCGTTGTCGCTGATGGATGGTCGCCTCGTGGAAAGGAATGGGAATGCTGATATACAGAAATATGATTATGCATTGGGATGCTGTTCTGTTGTTGTTGTTGTTGTTGATGTTGTTGTTGGTGCTGGAGTGTTCTTGCTGATATAGACTGAAGTTCCTGTCGATAGTGTCGTTGCTGTTTCTCGGATTTGTTGAATTGCTTATAGTTTTGGGTTCTGGTATGATTTCAGGAAAGTGCTGTACTTAACTTATGTAGTTTACGGTAATCCGCGAGTGTATGTTACGTGTTTTTATGGAAGAAACCAAGAAACCTGTGGCATCACCGGAAGTAAATTAATTACCCGTGTTGGGGTTTGGATCCAACCCACTGCTTTGACTAAAAATGAATCTCTTCAAGTACCACTCTCCAACATAGAGTCTAGACCAAAAAAATTTGTATTTGAAAAGTAGTTGCACCAATCTCAAATCAGTTCGAATGTATGGTGTATGTATGTATTTCAGATCATTGGCGTAGTCAGACTCCAAATATTTAAGGATCAATAACGGCGCCGCCCACGTCCTTGCAATCAGATGGGAATGGGAAGGGAATGTTAGTGCGTCACTTTTCCTCAATGCATCAGATCCGGTCCGGATCTAATGGGTGGCCTGAACGAAGGCTGACAAATATGAATCAATCTAAAATAAATCTGAAGATGTCCCTTGATCGGAAGAATTGAAAACAAACTAAAATAATTGAAATAAACAAATCCAGACGGACTAACGGCGCCGGTGGTGTAGTGGTAAACGTGATTACCTCTCACCCCAGCAGGCCTGGGTTCAATACCAGTCGGCGCCGCCGGGATGTTCTGAGGCATAACATCTCTGATCACGCCTTCCTTCGGATGGGAAGTAAAGCCGTTGGTCCCCGGTTCATGAGTTGATGGGTCGATAGGTAGGGTCCAGGTGTGGGAGCTGCCTTCCTGGCATGTAGCATTGGTGCTCAGCACGGAAAACAAGATCGACGGATAAAACAAACCAAAGGAAAAAAAAAAAAAAATCCATACGGAAGGAAGGCTGACAAAAGAGAATCTAATGATATTCTTTCATCTAAGAGCTGAAAGTAAACTTATATAATTTAAAACAAAAGATAAAGCCTAAACGAAGGCTTAAAAAAGTGATTGTGCTACATTTCCTCGAACGCCATTCCCCCACATGCCCATATCCCCGAATCCCATGCAAACATATACCCCATTTCTCCGAATGAAATCCAAAAATTGATAAAATACCTTGACTGTACTACATTTCTTAGGTTGGTTTCGCGAGCATAAAGAAGACATCTTTATATATTGCAACAATTAACCTTAAAAGATCAGCTCATGATTAAAAGAAGGGAAAATCTCAGTTCAAACAAAGTCAATTGGGCGAGAGTTTTCGTGAGGCGGCGGCAGTACCAGAAGCGGAAGTGTAAAAATTGGTAATATATTTTTAGGAGGTTTTTCCTTCTTTTATACATGACCAGTTCTTTTCAACGATTCAACGAAAATCGAGGCAATAACCAAGCTTTCGCCTCCCACTGACGTCTCTGGAGTACGATCTTTCCTCGGCACAATAAATTATTATGAGAAGTTTTTGCCGAATATGCGAAAGTGGCCTAACACGCTTCAAGAGCACTCACCAAGGCGGAACAAAATTACAGTCAACCGGATCGCGAAGGTCTGGCCATAGTATTTGCCGTCGCCAAGTTTCATAAAATGCTGTTTGGTCGCCGTTATCGTCTACAAACGATGCACTGCTTCGAATCTTCGGATCCAAGAAAGGTATTCCCGTTTATACTGCCAACATGCTGCAACGATTTGCCTTGACTCTACTGCTGTATGACTTCGAGATTGAGTACGTATCGACCAAAGCCCGACGAAGATAGCGTCATCGCCAGTATCCGTCTCGAGGAAGATATCAGGTCGGTAGCCTCATGTACAGTTAACGCTCTTCCTCTCAGTTTCAGAGTCGTCGCTCAGAGAAAGCAGTCCGATCCACTCCTTCGCAAGGTGTTCCAGTATGTCAAAGATGGTTGGTCATAAACGCAACTCATCGAGACGGAACTCAAGCGATTCCAAGCCAGGCAGGAGTCGCTCAGTCTAGTGTGTTCCGTCTCCGCCGAAATTGAACCAACCATCTTGACAATCGCCGTTGACGAACAGCGACAAAGAACACTAACCAATCAGCGACGTCCATATCACCATGCGCAGACAGCGTGCTTCTATAAAAGTGGCATCCATTAGGCAAACTCAATTCAGTTACCTTTTGACCGACCACGAGCAAGCATTAGCAGCAAAAGAAAGCAAACCTTTGTAAAGAAAAGAAGTAGAGAATAAAAGTAGTTACTAGCGTAGCCGTCGCCGTTTGAATAATTACCCATTGGTTCGGAGCAAGCGTTGAACCCACCCCCCAGCTCTTTTCAGAGCTCAAAGAGTTTGATTTAGATCGACGCTTGCATCCTCCACCAATCATTGCCGATACAGTCCACTGCCGAAAGGGAAAGTGCCTTCCCAGACCGAACATAGTGGATGGCTGTATCCTGTTCGGAGAACGACTCGTGATTCCTTCGCAATACCGAAAACAGTGCTTGAACCAACTACATCTTGGACATCCCGGTATCAAAAGGATAAAAGTACTCTCCAGAAGCTATGTGTACTGGCCCTCGCTTGACGAAGCAGTAACGGCCTACGTCAAGGCTTGTCAACATTGTGCGTCAGTCGCACGATCTCCTCCTCACTCGGATTCTGTCCCATGGCCCAAATCTTCTGGTCCGTGGCAACGTGTTCATGTCGATTTCGCCGGTCCAGTCGAAGGCGAATACTATCTTATCGCCTGAAGTGGTATAAACTCCCACGCTACCATCAGCATTCTGCGTGGACTATTCGCTCGTCTTGGGATGCCCGCAATCTTGGTATCAGACAATGGAACACAGTTCATCAGCGCTGAATTCGCCAACTTCTGCATGGCGAATGGGATAGAACACATGACAACAGCCCTGTTCCATCCACAGTCAAACGGGCAAGCGTTTTGTGGACACGTTCAAATGCTTACATATCAGAGCACACCAAATCGCTCCTTACCGGAAAGAAAAATGCCATCTGAGGTCATGTTTGGTCGCCAAATCCGGACATGCCTCGCCAGAACAAACAGTAAGAACGATCAAGTTTACGCCAAGGTCTACACACGAAACAGTTGGAAATGGGCACCAGGCATCGTGTTACAACGGCTGGGAGACGTCATGTACAATGTGTGGATCGAAGACCGTCGAATGCTGCGCTCACACATTAATCAGTTACGAAGCCGGACCGTGACAAATTCAGCACCAAGCCAGTCAACTCACCCAGTCAGCAGTTGTGAACAGAAATTACCATTGGATGTTCTACTTGAAGCCTGGATCTTGCCTGAATCAGGTCCGAATACGCAAGCTCCACTTCCAGCTCCAGTAACACCATCGTCTGAGCAAGCTTCTTCATCAGCCAGAACATTGCAAGCTTCTACGGCACAACGAGTATCATCTACTCCGCGGCATGACCAGCCGCTAGATCCTGTGATGAGTCCGTTGTTGTCTGTCCAGTCCCCATCAACGTCAACATCAGTTTCAACCGAATTTGAATCATCAGTTGAGGCAGATCCAGTGGTAACAGTTCCTCGGTGTTCTTCTAGGTATCGAAGGCCGCCGATGTGGTTTGACCCGTACCACCTTTATTAAGAGGGGAGATGTTGGAGACGACTGTATTCGGTCGGAGTGCTAACACCTGCGCGTGCGTTGCAGGGACTGAGCTATTGAGTGACAGTTCATATGTCACTGCGACTATGCTGGAAGGCGCATAAATGTATGTGTAATGGACAGTTGTCATTATTCAGGAATGACTTCCGTTTTAACTAGTCAGTAGAATGGTAGAATGTCGTGTGTATTTTAGCTAAGCAATAAATTATATCTTATCAGTTAATGTGCACGTCAGTTATTCCGTATATAGGGAGACCTTTCATTCACATACCGAGTTTCCCGTAAATGCAAAATTTTATAAACGAGCAGTTCATCCGAGAACTTAGACAATATGTGAGGTTCATGGAATTTAAAAATTGGTAACATAGTTTTACGAGATTTTTTTAACGAGGAATTTGTTATTTGTCTGTGATATTACTGCGCACCTTTGCAGACTAGACGCTG